ACCGGACTGATGTGGTCCCGTTTCCTGGTCCCAGTCAGGAACCTGGCTGCGCTGTTCTGCACAACCTGTAGGCGACGCAGTGTTGACTGACACAACCAAATATCGACACTCCAGTAAAACCAAAGTCTAAATACAGAAAAGCCCCCTGAGATGCAGCACCTTCTCTGTGTTCGTTATAATGGACGTGTTGTTCAGAACCCATAAAGCCTACTGTACTCTCTGGTCCAGTGGTTCCTGACCTGTTTTCCATGAGGACACCCAGGGTGGCGTTGTTGCAATCTTTTTGTCCTTAGGTTATTTATATTACCAACTCTCACTTGCCACAAAGTGAATGATTTTCCTTTTGAAATAACAGCTCCACTTATGTTGTAGGGATCAAAGGAACAGCGTTAGGCTGGTTTAAATCCTACCTGTCTGACAGATTTCATTTTGTAAATGTACATGACAAATCTTCTTCAAACTCCAGGGTTACTTGCGGAGTACCACAGGGTTCAGTGCTTGGACCAATTCTTTTTACTATATATATGCTCCCAATTAGTAAAATCATTAGACAGCATGGGATAAACTTCCACTGTTATGCTGACGATACTCAGCTATATTTATCCATTAACCCTGATGAACCTAATCGGTTGGGAAGATTACAGGCTTGTCTTGAGGACATAAAAAATTGGATGACTCTTAACTTCTTGCTTTTAAATCAAGACAAGACGGAAGTTCTCATCTTTGGACCAGAAATCCAGAAAAGGAAATTGCTTAGCCAGTCGCCTGACCTTAATGGCATTACATTAATCTCCGAGAACAAAGTAAGGAACCTTGGTGTTATCTTTGACCAGGACATGTCATTCAAATCCCAGGTTTCACAAGTTTGTAGGATTTCCTTTTTCCACCTTCGGAATATTGCTAAGATTAGAAGCATCCTTTCCAGGAGTGATGCTGAAAAACTAGTTCATGCATTTATTACATCAAGACTGGATTACTGTAATCCATTACTCTCAGGAAGTCCACAGAATGTAGTTAAAAGTCTTCAGCTTGTCCAAAATGCTGCAGCTAGAGTTCTGATGAGAATTACAAAGAGAGATCATATCTCTCCTGTCTTAGCTTCCCTACATTGGCTACCTGTTAAATTCAGAATAGATGTTAAGATCCTTCTTCTCACATACAAAGCTCTTAATAATCAAGCTCCATCATACATCAGTAATCTGATTGTTCCATACGTTCCTAACCGAGCACTTCGCTCTCAGACTGCAGGTCTACTGGTGGTTCCAAGAATATCTCAACTTAGGATGGGAGGCAGATCTTTTAGTTATCAGGCTCCTCTCCTGTGGAACCAGCTCCCAGCTTTAGTCCGTGAGGCAGACACCTTGTCTACTTTTAAGAATAGGCTTAAAACATTTTTATTTGATAGGGCCTATGGTTAAAATCTGATGTTAGCCTAAATCTGGACAAGTGGGGGAGTAGAGGGAGGTGGAGTGTACAGTCGGTAAAGACGGCTCTCCCTTGCCCTGCCTCCAACATGCCTACATCTAAATAGGATAGATTATCCAGAGTTATCTCTGTAGTTATGCTGCTATAGGCTTAGACTGCTGGAGAACACACTGACCACTTTTCACACTACTGCTTTATTCTACAGTCTGCTCTTTAACTGTACTATTTTGTGCAATTTCAGCTATTAACTTTATTTTCTCTGTAAGTGTTTTTCTCCCCAGAAGAAGCTGCGATGACGTTCTGCTGAGCTGTGGTGGCCTCATGGAGGGGGCCATCGTCTAGCACACTGCTGCTAACCACTTAAACATTCTCCCTCTCCTGATAATAACTTTTTGTTTTCATTGACTTTTGATGTGCTACTACTAGTTTATCCATTTAATTATAGATCCACTAGGATAAATACAATAAAGTTTATCTTTCACCAAATACAATATTTACTAAGACATCACAATATAACTATAGACACATTACTTATCTTTGTGTGTGTGTGTGTGTGTGTGTGTGTGTGTGTCTGCCTGCTCGTGTGTGTGTCTGCCTGCTCTGTCTTCTCGATCCCCAGTGAGCCGTGGAGGATGGCTGCTTATACTGAGCCAGGATTCTCTGGAGGTTTCTTCCTGTTAAAAGGGAGTTTTCCTCTCCACTGTCGCTGCATGCTTGCTTAGTATGAGGATTGCTGTATAGTCACTGACACTAGTCAGTGACTTGATGCAATTTGCTGGGTTCCTTATATAGGAAACATTATTTCTGATTGGCTTAATGAACTGTGAATTGGAATGTTTATTATGTGAAGTGCCTTGAGACGACTCATGTCGTGATTTGGCGCTATATAAATAAACTTGAATTGAAACTTGAATTGAACACCTGTTGAGTTGATTTGGATCGGCTACAACATTGGGCGGGAATTACCAGTGCAGCCCTACAACGGCTACACTCCTACTTATCCGACAGGAGTTTTTGTGTCAGTGTAGGTGAAACCTCCTCGACCTGGGCGGGGCTCAAGTGGGGTGTGCCACAGGGGTCTGTACTGGGAACGCTTCTTTTTGCCATCTGCTTACTACCATTGGGGAATCTTCTTTGGCGGTTCGGCATGCGTTTTCATTTTTATGCTGACGACTGTCAGATCTACCTCCCCCTTCAGCGGGGGGTCGATGGGTCACTATCAAAGCTTGTAGATGCCTTAGAGGATGTGCGCTCCTGGATGGCTACAAACTTTTTACATCTGAATGACGCTAAGACTGAAGTAACTGTACTTAGCCCTGGCATGTCTACATGCCCATGCGATGCTGTGAATCTGGGCCCTTTAGCATCCAACATGAAGACCACCATCCGAATTTTGGGAGTGCAACTGGACTCAGCCCTTAAATTCGATGCACAAATCAACCAGGTTGTGCGATCGTGTTTTTTAACTTACGCCGACCAGCCAGAATTAAGCCCCTGCTGTCCAGAGTACATCTAGAGACTGTCACACATGCTTTTGTTCTTTCAAGGCTCGACTACTGCAATGCACTGTATGCCGACCTTAGTCAGGGTGCGGTGGCATGCTTGCAGTTAGTACAAAACTCAGCTGCTAGGTTCATGACAGGCACTAGGCGCAGGGAACATATCACCCCTGTGCTGGCATACCTTCATTGGCTGCCTGTGCAATACAGGGCAAAATTCAAGGTCTTGGTACTGGCATACAAGGCCTTACAAGGAACTGCTCCAGCATAGCTTAGCAACCTTTTGCATAGACATGCCCCCTCGCGGGCCCTTCAAACATGCACATCGGACCTTGGGGGGTGGACAAGTCAGGGAGTGCGGGTATGGACCCCATTTCCGCATTCCTGTGGCAACCTGCCCCCAATTTTATTTGCACCTTAAACACTTCCACTGACGACATTCCACACAAACACACACTTAGGGCCTTGGGAGTGAGCATATTCAACGGCACTTGGCAGGGGGATTTCTCAGCCTCATCCCGAGTGCCAGTGCCCACTTTCAATTTTAAACCGCACTTAGACACCAAGGGCTGTGGGTGCAAGTGGGGTGGTGCGGTGGCATCAGCTGGCATAGGCCAGACAATGCCCGCACTGACCGCTAACCACAGCCATGGAATACACCTCATCAGCACACAATACTATAATGGAGCAGGCGGAGGGAGACTAGGGGTCTTAGCACACCTCTGTTGTCGCTTGGCTTCCTGGGGCTGGAGGCTAGGAGGGAGATCTGGCCGTCTGGTTGGGGTCTGGGGTGGTGGGTTGCTGTGCTCAGCGTTGGGCGGGGGAGCCTGCTCATCAGCACCCCAGCAGAAAGGGTCAAACTCTTGGAACCGGTGATGGTTGTACCCCATGTGCAGCAGTACCGGGACCAGAGTGAATAGGGTGTGTATGGGGAGCACGAGTGGGTGTCCGGCGTGCATTTTTGTAAGTCTTTGGTTGTATGTGTATGTGTGAGCATGAGGGAGGGAGCGTGTGACTGTGTTTGTGTATGACTGTATATGTCAGGTGGGGCCTTTGACTCCTCCCTTCTCCCAGGACTTCTTTTGATGATATAGATCTTCGTCTCCCCTCCCCCTGCCACACCTGGTGTGGAGTGCGGTGCCTTGGTCTGCCTGAGTGTTCGTGGCTCCCGGGTCAGGGGGGTTTAAGATTTTTGGCGTCTGCCTGATCAATCCCGGTGGCTGCCTGGTGGGGTCTGAGTCCCTGGGCTCTGCTGGGTTCCCGATGGGGGTGGTCGCCCCTGAGTCCCAGGTTGCTGGGTCCCGGGCTTGGCCGGCTAGGGGGTGGGAGGCTGCTGGCGGGCCTGTGGGCTTGCCGCTGATATCTCCCGGGACTCTGCCGGCTGCTGGTTGTGGCCCCCCGGGGGCAATCCTCTGTGCCTCTCGAGGGGGGCGGGGGCCTTTCTGGTTGCAGTCTCCTTGGGGTTCCTGTGTTCTGGGGCAGCACCTGGATCTCTGGCTTGGAGCTCCCCCTATCTCCTACACATCTTTGGAGGGAAGATCTGTGGTCCCTCACACTCTCTATTAGACGCTTCTATAGAGAAACCTTAAGTTAAAAAAATTAAAGTAAAATGTAAAATTTACCAGTAAACTAAGTTGCCTTGTATGCCCTAAAGCTCTCTCTCTCTCTCTCTCTCTCTCACACACACACACACACACACACACACACACACACACACACACACACACACACACACACACACACACACACACACAGGCTGTACTCCCTAATAGGTTCGACTTTTCCTCTACGCAGCAAACGCATGGATGAAAGGGAGGTCCAGTGTTCTCGTTCCGGTCCCACAGGGACATTTTCGGATGCATCAGTCGGCTCATCGATAGACGAACCCAACGGGAACCATAGAGATAATACGGCCACTTCCGCATCTTATTTTCTTGTTTTTACTCCGAACATTGGCGCTAAAATAAAGGCTTGAAAGCTTTTCTCCACTGAAAAGTTATTGTTTTTCTGGTAGTTACTTATTTCTGATTTCTGACCGAATTACACGAAGGGACCCATGACCCGGAAGTAGGTGGGCGTGCTAGGGGCGGGGCTATCAGTGGTCCGGAACCAGGTGAAGGTGAACCCGGCTTGTTTCACTCCGCCCGTCGCTGGAGCTCCTGTCACCCGTCTCCTTGTGCTCCCAAACGGGATAACCTGCTTTGGCCTGAGCCATGTCGGTGTTCGGTGAGGTCCCGCAGGCGCCGCCCGTAGCCGTCTTCAAACTGACTGCTGACTTCCGGGAGGACAGCCACCCTGTGAAGGTGAACCTGGGAGTTGGAGGTAAGAGGCGGTAGCGGAGCGGTAGGTAAGCCGGGCAGGGACGTCAGCTGCCCGGCTGTGGTGATGCTAGCTGACGTTAGCTCCGCTCCGCTGTGACCTTCGTTACAAGCTAGCCCTGCTGCTAACGCGCCGCAGCTGGTGTGAGTGAAGCTGCGGTGTCGTGTCTGCGTGGGTTGACGCAGGTGTGGTTCTGCTTCGTCCATCTGCTAGTTTGACCTCTCCGGCTAGTCCCAGGACATGAACCCGCTCTGGAAGCGCTGGCCTCCAGACCTGCGATGGTTTTTAGGTTTGTGTTGGAAAGCATCTGTGAGACTTCAGACGCACCACGTGCTTGTTGACCTGTCCGTGTCTGACATGCCTCAGAAGCAGGTCACACACTCGTCCTGGCCTGGCTTTCTTCAGCCATGTTTGTTGTAATGTGAGTCCTGAAGTGCGCTCCAAGGCCAGGAGTCGTAAGCGCCTGACCCTCCAGGTCTGTTCCCCCCGTGGTCAGGTAACCGGATGCTCCAGTCCAGCACGAAGTAGCACGAGCTCTTCAGAGGTCACAGGGGTTTGGTACCTCCTGAATCCAGACTGGTGACAACACTCTGAGAACTTAGAAGAGCGTGAACGTGAGCTTTTACTGTCCTCTGCAGGTGGGGTTTGCTTCCAGCTGCAGGAGGAAGCCCGGGATGCCTCACTGCAGATTTCATCGTAGATGTTGACCATGCGGGCTTAGGTTGACGGTGCATTTGCTGGCAACTATAAGTGTCTTGCTGCTCGTGTCCCCTCCAGCTTACCGTACGGATGATTGCCAGCCCTGGGTGCTGCCTGTGGTGAAGAAGGTGGAGCACCTGATTGTGCAGGATGATGGCCTGAATCACGAATACCTGCCCATCCTCGGCCTGCCGGAGTTCCGCTCTGCTGCGTCTAAGGTCGCCCTGGGAGACGACAGCACTGCCATAAAGGAGAACAGGGTGAGCGGCACACCCAGACACAGCTGTACACAAGTATCAGTGCTGGTTCTGAGACGGCGCCAGTGTTCTGGTTCCTGTGTGGTCCTGCTCCCATGTCTCTGCTCTCCACTGCAGGTTGGAGCCGTCCAGGCTCTGGGTGGGACTGGAGCTCTCAGGATTGGAGCAGATTTCCTTCGGCGGTGGTACAACGGTGTCAACAACACCGCCACGCCCGTCTATGTCTCTGCGCCCACGTGGGGTCAGTGTCAGGCCTGAGGCTCTGCTGCAGCAGATCAAAAACCAAAAATATTCAAAAGATCTGAGTTTTCCTAGTTTCCAGTGATGTTTGATTCACCTGCACCCGCTGCGTGTTCTTTCCTTACTGCAGAGAACCACAACGGCGTGTTTACCGATGCTGGCTTTAAAGACATCCGCTCGTACCACTACTGGGACGCTGCTAACAGGGGCCTGGACTACGCCGGCCTCCTGCATGACCTGGAGGTATCTACTCAGGCCCTGCACTCGAACATTCACCATAACGGCTAAGAGCGGGTTGGGTAGGCAGGTTTGTGCCCTAAGGCAAAGTGAGTGGCTGAGACGTTACGGATGAAATTCGCCATCACACGCTGGCACTGATAACTTCAGACAGCCTCGAAGGACCCATAAGTAGGATTTTAACCGTGAGATCAGCAGTCTCACGCTCTCCAGAAGCCTTTTACTCCTACGAAGCCACAGCATCCTTTTGTTTTACTCTAATATCGGTTAGAGGAGGCTAGACGCTATCGACGAGCTGACCACAATCAGAATATCCTTTATTGTCAAAGTGAGACGTACAACCAAAGGAGATGCAGCCCCAGTATCAGGATAAATAAAAGACAAATGAAGTAACCAAATATAGAAATAGGGAAGCAGCATATGTACACTAGATGCCACAGCCCATCGGCACCACCCCTTATTGAGGAAATGTAGAACTTGTAGAGACAGAAGCTCACACAGACACTATGACGTCCATATGTAGTGTAATATAAACGTAAACGACAATGCTGACGGCGAATTAGAAACCAGTAAAATCATCTGATCTTGAACTAGATGTGCTGTAAAACCACCCTGAGTTGTATGCTTGCACTGCCCCCTAGTGGCAGGAAACAACACGTTCTACTTTTGGGGAATGGGCAGCACATAAGGGGCTACGAGAAAACGGCTCAGGGGTCCACGAGCCAGAACAGGTTGGGAACCACCATCGGTTATTCCTTCTGGATCGGTGCTGCATTCTCAGTCATCCTGGACACGACCATCCTGAGAGATTTAATTGAAAACGGCTAAACTTTTCTGGTTACCTTGAAGAGGCTTTACCTCTCATCCAAGAGGCTCCTTCAGTTGGGTTGTGGTCAGAAACAAACACACGGATTAGGATTGATATTGATGCATCACGAAGTGACCCCGACCCTAACCCGACTCACAAAAGGTTCATAATCATAAATGAATGCCAAAGACCGCTGAGAAGCGAGGCAGGAACTCGAGTTACACGTGCTGCCTGGACACTTTAGTGGGACGGACCAGTGGGCGTCCAAACCCGCAGTGGTGGAGGCTTTTTCGTTAGCGTCAGCCGCTAAACGTGACGTTTCCTCATCAGGAGGATTAGAACCAAACACAACAGCAGCAGCAGCTTTAGCGTTACCGTCCCGCTCAGACGGAGCGGCTGCTGCGGGTTCCTCCCGACCGTCGAGGAAGGATGGATCACATTTAGCAGCTTGTTTCATAAAACAACGTCGTTACTTTGCTGCAAAGCTGAGGCAGCGCTAGGAGCGTCCACGCTTTCCGTGCTGTAGGCTCGTCCCTTGCCTTTGAGCCAGGCATTAGCATGGAGCACGAAGCAATGATTGGTGGGTTTATTGGCTGCTAAACATCATACAGACTAACTTCTCCGAGCTTCAGCTGCGACTGTCCTGGTAGATAGAAACGTGGCTTCTGACACCAGACTAGTCATCCTCCCCGACAACACGGCGGGCCACCCTGGGCTTGGGTTTCTGGGGGAACCCTGGGACATCTTGTTGTTTTAATGGTGACTGTCTTTCAACAGAACGCTCCAGAACACTCCATCTTTGTCCTCCACGCCTGTGCTCACAACCCCACCGGCACCGACCCCACCCAGGAGGAGTGGAAGGCCATAGCAGAGGTCATGAAGGTAAAACAGGACGCTGTGTTTGCGTGGGAGATGTCTTGTGGACCTGGAAGCTAAAGTCACCACGTCTGTTTTTCAGAGGAGGAAGCTGTTTCCGTTCTTTGACTCGGCCTATCAGGGGTTCGCATCTGGAGACTTGGACAGAGACGCCTGGGCCATCCGCTACTTTGTCTCCGAGGGCTTCGAGCTCTTCGTTGCTCAGTCCTTCTCCAAAAACTTCGGGCTGTACAGTGAGTAGACCCGCGGGCGTGTGGGGCTGGGTGTGCGTCACGGCCCTCATGCTGACACTTCCTGCTGTGGTTGTCAGACGAGAGGGTGGGGAACCTGACGGTGATCGCCAGGGATGGTGACAACCTGAGCCGCACCCTGTCCCAGATGGAGAAGATTGTGAGGACAACCTGGTCCAACCCACCATCTCAGGGAGCGCGGATCGTCAGCAAGACCCTCAACAGCCCTGAGCTGTTTGCAGAATGGTATGCTCCTCGTCTCCATCCCACAACTCCAGCGGTGTTCTACCCGTGGCCGTGCCACGCGCGTGTACAACACACCTCCACGTGTCTCGGTGACGCTCGCTGTTGGGATGTTTTTGTGTTTCTGTGGCTGTAGGAAGGAAAACGTGAAGACCATGGCTGACCGCGTCCTGTTGATGAGGGATCAGCTGAAGACCAAGCTGGTGGGTCTGGGCACCCCAGGAACCTGGGACCACATCACCCAGCAGATTGGGATGTTCAGCTTCACTGGCCTCAACCGTGAGTGTGTGACACAGCGAGCAGATCAGAGGAGCTCTAGCTGGTTCCCCTGTGACAGCTAGCTGCTGGTCTGGGTCTGCTGACGTGTGAAACAGCATTGTGTCGCCCAGCCCTTGTGTGACCGTCTGAGACTTGAGCTGAAGTGCAGAATGAAGAAACGATGAAGGTAAAACCCTCAGGTGACTCCTTCCTCTGTGCTCTTGTGTCCTGCAGCCAAACAGGTGGAGTACCTGATCAAAGAGAAGCACGTGTACCTGATGGCCAGCGGTCGCATCAACATGTGTGGTCTGACTTCCAAGAACATGGACTACGTGGCCCAGTCCATCCATGAGGCTGTCACCAACGTCCAGTAAAGGCTTCAGCACACACTCCTCCTGCGTGTCGTCTGTTACAGGAAGCACTGTCCTGCCTGCCCCAGCCTACTCCTCTCCTCTGATTGGTTAAACTACTTGAACCAAGCAGGTGTGAACCTCCCGGGGGTCTTGTTAGAAGACACCCAGCCTGTGGATGAAATCCCCTGATTTAGATGAAACATTTAACCATGAAGGAGCCGTAACCACGGGTAACGTGCACTTCCTGAGCTGCTGCTAGTGGCTCGTCCTGGTTTTAGGTCTCTGCTCCACCCCGACCAGGCTGCTCTTTTATCTGTGTGTTGTGCATGTGCAGCTTTCCTGTTGGACTTTTACCTGACGCCACTAAAGAAGTGAGTCGCACACTCCGCTTTTATGTTAGGGTCTAGAGAAGGACATTCGTGTTCTACTGAAGGTTTCACCTTCATGCCCAGTCACCGTCTATCCACATGTTCAGAGCTCCTCTGAGCCTCCAGAGAAGAAGTCCCGAGTCCAGCTGATCCCTCACGGCCACCGTCCTACGTTCCAGTGATCTTAGCAGTGGCAGACTAGTATGTTCATGCTCAAATAAATGATTAAACTCAAACTCGCCTCTTTAACGTTTGTGGCTTCAGTGTGAAAATAAAAGTCCACCCAACTGAGAACTAACAGGATCTGCTTGAACGAGTCTTTCTTACGGGTCTACCCCGGTTTGTTCCTGCATCAGTCACCTCCAAAGCTGTTGCTCTCCTGGTGAGGTGTGCATGAACTGGTGTGATCTCCGAGTACAGCAGTGCCACTGGATGCACTGGTGACCTTTAACCCCGCCAGCATTCACTGCTTCAGCCCACTAGGAGGCTCCTGATGGACAGGAACGTCTTTGGACCCCAGCTGGGACGCATTCTGATTTAAGTTGTGTGTTTTTATAGGAAGGAGCAAAGTCAAACGTAACTGTTCTAAACCTTTATTGTGAAATAAGGACTAAATACGAGTATACGACTGTTTCTGTAGGAGAGAAGAACATTCAGTTTCCATATGAGTAAAAATGGTCTCCCTCTCCGTTACAAACACAGCCCCGCTTCTGCTGAGCTGCGGCCTTCACTCTGAGCTGGTCCAGAGTCCGGCAGCGCTCGGTTACTGTCTGATGTTTGGGTCTGACTCGGCAGCTTGCTTTAAACGGCACCACTCACCTGTGAGGCGTCCGCGGCCATGCTGCCAAAGCCACCTCCACACTGTCTCTTACTGGTTATGTCTTTCTAACGGAGACGGCAGAAAAATGTGCAACAAGTTTAAAATGATCAGAGGACTGCTCCTCAACCCAAAAGCTGGGATGTGTACAAGCCGACTAGGAAGAGACACGATTCGTGGGCCCCCTAGGACCAAGAGGAGATCATGGTAAAACATGAGTCAGAAGTATTCATCATAGACCACATGATGTGCAAAAGTGGTGCAATGTCAGCAAGATCTGGTGTAAAAACTGCACAATTGTTTTGTTCCTGAGGGATTCATGGCTGAATCTCTGAAGTCCCGCCTCTTCCAGCTAAACCGATCTGATGTTTGCTCCAAAGGGACCGTTTGCTGACCACGATGCTGTGGAACGCTTGGAGAAGTTGGTGGGTGTGGGATAACGGCGTTACGTTGGTTTGAGGTCATCCATCATCTCCTCTTATGCTCCTTCGGGGAAACCAGGTTCTTCAGGAGTTTGGGTTTGGCTGCTTCTCCACTTCAGTCCAGTTCCTGATCATTTACAGAGGAACCATTGGCAGTTTATTGTGCGTAGTTGCAGAACTTTCATACATGCAATCACTCTAAAACCCAACAGCCAACTTAGCAGAGAAACCGTCTGAAAGGAGATGTTCAGGCTCTTCATTACCAAACACGAAGAACATCAATAGTAACTTCTTCTGTCCTCCACTCTACACCTTCCCTTTTAATCCTCATTATTTGAAGCTCACCATGCACACTGCAGCTGTTGTCAGAGGTGCAAAAGCAGCCCGCAGCCTTAATCCCAACCACCGGCCTCAGTGTGGAAATCACAGACACGTGCAGCTTCTCTCAGGCATGGCAGGAACGTGCTGGTGATGATATCCATCCAGTCTCGTCTCAGAGATAGGGACCGACCTGCCTAACTCAGAATAAACTCTTACCACGGGTGACATCATTTAGACTTTTAATGCAACTGGGAGGAGTTCTCTCTTCCAGGACTGTCTGCCTCTGCAGGGGAATGTTTGTGTCTGAGCGTTACTTCTGGGATAAACGACTGAAATTCCCAACAGGACTCTGTTATTGTCCTAACACACATCTGGAGACAAAGCTAGTGAGACGCATCACTGATGACCTGTGTGTGTGAGCCAAGCTCTGCTGCAGAAGGGTTCAACTGGTTTTTCCTGATCACATGACCGCTGCTATAGGGAGCCCAAGTCCCTTCCTCATCACGGGTCCCTGGAAGACTGAAAAGATGAACGCAAGTCAACGAGGCTAAAACCTCTATTTTCTAATCCCACTTGTGATGTTCCATGGATATGAGGCCCATGAGTCATAAAAACACATTTTGACACCAAGAACGCGCTTATTTTCAAATGGGGGGAACGCTATCTTAGGTGTTGTGTGAAAATAAGTCCAGGACTACAAACGCGCTTCACCAAGGTGACGTCATCGAACCAGACATGGAGGAAACTGAGGGAAAAGGGCCGTAAGTTCAGCAAACTTCCCACAGGAGGAAAGAACCACCATGAATCTGGTCATGTGGTGAGTAGCAGCTACGCTAGGGGGGAGGAGCTTATGTGGTGATGTCACATATGCGACGTGCTAATTTCTGGTTTGTAGTCATGCTAATTACAAACTTTTACAAGCTGATAAATCTCAACGTACGTGACTGGCGCGGTCGACACACCATCATTACTTGTCATTTAAACTGCAGTACAGCGTGTGTGATGCAGGGCGTAAGGCACAGCGGGCTAGATAATCGCGTTTTATCGTTCTTCTGGGACCCGTGATGCAGAAGCGGCTTAGGCTCCCTGTGGATTCTGACATGTGACATCAGTCTCTTCTTCTCATGAAGACATCTCAGTGTGTTTGGACATTTATTGTCAATCTGCATATTTGAAGGGTGGAAACTTATATAAATCCATATAAAATCTGGACAACCTGAATTTCAGGTTGGTTGACTGCTAAAACAAAGAGAGGTGTCTGGACTGAAGCTCCTGGACGGTTGTGAGAACTAATCTCCACACAACCTGGACAATGTCCCGGCGCCTCCTTTTTAAACTTTTTGGGATCTTTACTAAAACTTGAAATCAGCAAACTGCTGAAATACAGCTGCACGCAGTTCCTGCTTTACACATCCCATATGTCCTAGAGATGTGCTCAGGGGCCTCATTCCTAAAGATTGCTTACACACAAAACAAGTTCTTCAGAATCAGAGTTCTTCATGTTGCATAAGTCCTTTTATACACAAACACGTAGATTCATAAAGTAAAACTTAACAGGAAACTCTGACCCTGATGGGAGCACATTTTGGAGATTGAACAACGGGCAGCATCGAGACAGTGACGGGTGAATTTAAGACACGGTTTCAGACTTGAAGACTTCTGCACACATGCACCCCCCCCCTCCCGGTTCTGAACTGCAAATAAAAAATATTAACTGAAAAAACTGTATACATGTAAATAAATGTAAAGATGTCACTATGTTGCCGTATGTGATTATGTATTGGGCCGTGAACTGTCTGGCACGTGCACCCACCAGGGCGGTAATCAACCTTAAATCAACTCTTACAGCTTAGTCGCGACGGGGAGACCGCACTCGGAGTTTCCTGCGCTGCAACCAGCGGGAATTAACCGACAGGCTGATGTTTGCTTGCTTTGATGAACAACATTTGGCATTCCTGCCTAAAATCCCAATTTTTTCCTCTGATCTAGATTATCTCAGCAACCCCTGAGCAGCCATTTTGGGTGCTGTCACTGCCATTTTCCTCTTTGCCACATTTTTATGTTCTTTTTTTGTCCTCCTTGATCTGGGAGCTACCCGTGAAATGTCACAGATTAGCGTTTTTTTATGCAGGGTACTTCTTAAGGTACTTTGCGTTGTCCATTTCTGTCAGCAGGTGGGTGTGTAGAACATGGGATTGAATTAAAAATGATCTAGAATTTAATTTAAAAAGATTAAAACCCACATTTATTATTTAATTTAGCCATCCAAAATAAAGCTGCAGAGTCGCTGTGGGCTAGCGGTGGCGCTAATGCTCCACCTTGTTGCTGCCAACTGCCAACATCCATCATAGAAGAAAAAAGGGGATGTACTCTGTGACATCACATGCTCGTCCAATCACATTCACCAAGTTTAAACAAGCCTCGCAGCTTGCCATGGCGCAGGCGGGCCCACAAGCATGTGTCACCGTGGTGAATGGGCGGGGCTTCCGGTTAGCTCCTCTCCTGGAACGGAATTTGGAGGAATGGAGCCGAGATTGTCAAAGTGAGCCTAGCTTTCAGATTAGATTAGATAACTTAAGTCGCCACATTTTCCTGTCAAGTTTTATTTATAAATCACAAAGTTTGTGCAGAAAGTAACACGTGCGATCTCTAGACTTGTTTAGTGCATAAATGAGACGCCTGGTGATCAGGTGGGCGTTTCTGTACAAAACAGCGACGTCTTTGGTGTCTTTTCTCTGTCTTCTGTCCTGACAGTCCGTCCAGCCCCATGAAGGATGGACAGCGTGTATAAAGACATGCACGTCTTCCCTTTACATTCATGGTCATTCTTTTATAGGAGAGTATCAACGTGGACCTTCTGGAGCATCGAAGAAGACAAGCTCAAAGCCCTGCTGCAGCCTCCACCAACAGGAATGGGTTGGCTTTACGGTGTCCAGCAGCTCCGGCTGAAACTCTCATAGCCGTCCATCTGCAGCCGTTCATCAGCTGGTGGGCTCTGCTTCAGATTCACCCTGCTAGGTTTTCACCAGCGGCTGCTCTGAAGTGTCCTCTGGTGTCTTCTCTCCTTCATGAGACTTTTTCCTTTTTTTGTGGCCTGCAAAAACAAGACAACTAATCAAATAAAATGCATTATTCTATTATTATATAATTGGATTTGTAATAATTAAAAAACATGCTTTTTCTCCAAGACTAAGATGAAGAATAACAACCTGACAGCTGGTGGTGGTCAGAAGGACGGGTGGTGCCTGTGCACGGCAGCCTCACCCAGCGTGCCCCAGGGCAGCTGTGGCTACACTGTAGCTCATCACCATCAGTGTGTGAAAGGGTGAACAACTGTTTTGTGGTAAAGTGCTTTGGGGGGCTGTAAAACTGTACAATTATATAAATAAAGGCCATCTGCTCAGAAATCTAATCTGCTTTCTGCTTCATTCATGTGATCACAGCTACCAGTGAAGTTTCATTTCATTCATTTTTAATATTATCCTACATCCTCCACACAATATGTTGAGCTTCATGCGGCCACGCTTTCAAAGTTTGTCATTCTATAATTCTTAAAGCAGATGCTAAGTCATGGTCACCATGACAACCAAATGCTGATTTAGGTTATACGCTCCCATGTGCTGACAGATGTTTGAGCGATAGGAAGTGTGTGTATGTGTGTGTGTGTGTGACTGACTGAGTTTAAGCAGCAGCTTCTTTCCCAATGTTTCCTCTGAGCCACTCAGTGACAGGCTGCTGATGAAGGGGGACATATCCGTTTCCATGGGAACAGAGGACATGTCTGACAAAGACAGAAAGAGGCGTCTGTATTAAAGGACGTTTGACTCTTGGTTTTATGTCTATAGCACTCACCACAGAAAGAATCACAAAGATCACAACAAATCATAAAGTGATCTAAAACAGAAATAAATAAGTAAAAGATTTACGTAAAAGCAGCTTTAAATAAAAGTCTTTAGCTGCTTCTGCAGACCCTGATGACCTGCTGCACAGGTGATGCAACCACTGAACCAAGTGTGTTGGAGCAGAGAAACCACCAAAATGTGCTGGATACCAGTCCTCCAGGACTGGAATTGAATAGCCCTGTTCTAGAAGGTTCTGGTGGGTGGACCTGAGGGCTCGGGCTGGAGCATAAGTAATATAGGGAGGAGCTTGACCATGTAGAGCCCTGAAAGTTCTAGTCAGGACTCTAAATGAACTCTAGAGTTAACAGGTAACCAGTGCAGAGACGTCAGAACAGGAGTGATGTGTGCTCTTCTGTTTGCTCCAGTTAGGAGCCTCGCTGCAGAGTTCTGGACCAACTGAAGGTGGTCCAGGGCTTTTTGTTAGAACATGTGAAGAGTGTGTTACAGTAATCTAGACGGGAGGAGATAAAGGCATGGAGAACCATTTCAAGATCATGTTTTGACACCAACCTTCATAGTTTGGAGATTTTTCTTAAGTGATAAAAACAGTTTTGGACCAATGTTTGAGTGACCTTCAAGAGACACTGATTGGTCAAAAACACCACCCAGCAGAGCAGTAAGCGTAAAGGTGGGGGTCTGTATGGTGTTTATTAATGAGAGACGGTGCAACCTGGCGTATGTGACCATTAAACAACAACTGTGTACAAAAGGCACTGAGTTGCTGTGTACTCTTTCACATCCTGAGAGAGTTTTCACATGTAATAGGGTCTAATGTGTACCTCCCCCCCTCGACAGACTCTCTCACTCTCTCACCCTCCCCACCTTTATCCAGTATGTGAAGTGTCACACCACAGACAATAAGACAATTGACCTGCTGTATGCTAATGTAAAAAACACATACACTTCCACAGCCAGGGTGATTAGGGAGCCTCCTCAGAAGTAAACAGTGAAAGTGTGGACTGAGGAAGCAACAGAAAGGCTGATTCCAAACCACAGACTGGGAGACACTCTGCAGCGCTCATGGTGATGACCTTAACAGCCTGACCCACTGTGTCACTGACTATGTTAACTTCTGTGTAGAGAACACAGTCCCAACTCGAAGAGTGAGGTGTTTTTGAAACAAAAGACCTGACTGACCCCTGAGCTGAAATCCCTGATGAACGATAAGAAGAAAGCTTTTATGGCTGGAGACAAGGAGAAGCAGAGATGGGTCCAGAAGGAGCTCAAATATAAGATCAGACGGGCTAAAGACGGCTACAGGAAGAAGCTGGACAAACAGCTGGGGCAGGACAATGCTGGAGGAGCATGGAGAGGCCTGAAGAACATAACAGGTCACAGTGGGAGGACTCCCCCTCTCTTAAAAAGACCCTCCAGCCCACTGCGTTCCACAGTGGAGACCATGGACAGCTCCTTCAGAGGCAGACTGAGACGTCCCAGATGTAAAACAGAGCGCTACTGTAGATCATTCATCCCCTCTGCAGCCTCAGTTTAACTGGTACACAATACCACCAATGCAATACTCTGTATGTGTTTAATACTCGTGCAATACCAGATTTATATAGTCTGTCTGTGCTGTAACAAGTTCATTTCCCGTTCTGTTATGGAAATTTTATCTTTCATTACTTTAGTCCTATCAACAGATTTATTAACTGATTGTCCTGAAATCATTCACACACTCACACGCACACGCACGCACGCACGCACGCACGCACACACACACACGCACGCACACACACACACACGCACACACGCACACACACACACACACACACACACACACACACACACACACACACACACACACACACACACACACACACACACACACACACACACACACACACACACACACACACACACACACACACACACACTCTCACTCACACATGACCCACTCCCATTCCTCTCTTATATCGTTGCTTGAATAAACTCTGTGACCAGATGTTCAGGGCATTTGCCACTAGATCATGATTTGGTTGTATGTCTGCCTCATTGCTTCTTGTCCCTTTTCTCTTCGACTCCAGGAAATGGGTTTACTGATAAACATATTAATAAAATCCACGACACGTTCTTAAAACGTTTACGAGGAAAGTCACTTGCACAGTTTTCAGACCCTGTTTTGTGCATAAGCAGCTTCACAATCGAGGGCCCAGCTCTCCGAGACCCGAGCTTGGCTGAAGCAGTGTAGAAGATCCCTGTTGGCTGCAAACAGCATTTAGTGAACAGAGAAACCCACCGGCGTGTGTCTCCATCTCAGAACGGTCCTCTCTGATGTAGGGGATCTCGTCCATCCTGAGGAACACGGAATCACTGGGACTCTTCTGACCATCAGACTTACTCCCTGTCGCGCGCACACACACACACACACACACACACACACACACACACACACACACACACACACACACACACACACACACACACACACACACACACAGACATGTGTCATATTCTTCTTGTCCTAGCGACAGACATGGCTAATGTTAGCATTAGCTAACTCATAGATATGAAAACACCAATGGGACCAGGAGGTGGGAGCACATTACACCGGTGTTGCAGTCGTTGCATTGGCTCCCCATATGTTTCAGGGTTGAGTTGGAGGTTCTGTTACAGTATTAGTTTTTCTACATGGGCTCGTACCTTCTTGTCTCAGAACTGCTTTGACCATATGAACCTTCGTGGCCTCTGCTCTCCTCTGGCAGTCATCTCCTTGTCATCCCACAGGCCAGGACACACACCCACACGTGTGTGTTTATGTGTGTGTGTTTCTGGCCATTGTCTCTGGAACAGGCTGCCACAGGACCTCAGGGCCACAGAGAACGTTCATGTTTTTGAGAGCAGGCTGAAGACCCACTTTCTTAGCTTAACTTTTAATTAATTATCATTATTATGGTCTGCTTAACTGCTTAACATGTTTAATTTTTACTACATTTGATGGGTTTCAATATATATTTATATTAGATTATTTTACTATTTATTCAGTATTATTTACCATTATTTATCTTTATTAATTACTTACGTTTATCGTATTATTATTATTTGTAAATTTATTCTTATATTTACTTTTCATGAGGGAGATGTGGTGTCATTTTAATCTGTAAGGCACTTTGAGCTGCATCATCTGTATGAAAAGTGCTTATAAATAAAGTTTGATTTGATTTGACTCATCACACTGTTAATACTTTTATTGTAAATAAGGGTTGTTTCAGTTGTCAGTTATGTGACAAAGTGTTTTATATTTGATTCTTGTCATGTTTAGTAAGTAAGGTCAATATCAGTTTAAGTTACTATAATTTTGTAGTACAGACTTTTATTTTGAAAGCATTCCTTTACTGGAAAGATTGTTAAAATTCACAGTTTTGCACACGTCTTTTGTTTAAATACAAGACATGTTTCTTACTCGTTCTTGTATCTCCATCTGCTAAATGAGGGGTTAGCGAACCATTTAGGATTAAATCTGCTGAGGGGCTGCTCTGACGACGTGCCGAAGGTGCTCTCCCCCCTACAGCTGACTGGGAGGTCAGGTGGTCAACAGCACCAGATGCAGTTCAAGTCAGGCTTGCCGATTAAAGACCCTTTTATTAAAAACATTAAATGTTAATTTAGCGCAGTACAAAAGTATTTAAAATAAATAAATAAGTGATGCTTAGCCTGGCGGCCTGCCAGGCTTCTAAAGGAAACCCTGGATAAATATTGTTTCACGTGACATGAGCTCCATGGGGCCTGGCTGTGAGCAAGTTTGGATTAACAAAACTCACGTTCCTAATTCCCAAAAGTACTTACGGACAATCCGGTTCTTTTCATTCAGCAGGGAGGTGCTGTGTGGGACGCTGGACTGCTGTCCTCTTGTTCGGGCCGAGCTGGGCCGGCTGGTTTCTCTGGGTGGGGGCATGAGCGTGGCTGTGGTTGGCATGGGGGCCGTGAGTGTGGTGGCACGCTCTGTGGCTGGGTGCTCCGGTGTTGGGGTGTCAGCCTCAGTCAGGCAGATTTCAGCATCAGGTGTCTGAGGGGAGCTGTCCATCCTGGTCGCTGTCACTGCGTTCTGGTAATGGCTGCGAGTGATCTGACACACAGGAGCAGAGTACGCTCAGCAGCTCAGGTTTACGTGCCTCACTTTTGTTTCCAATGCATCAAAACAAAACAAAACAAAACAAAACATAACATAACATAACATAACAAAACAAAACAAAACAAAACAAACAAAAAAAACAAAACAAAAAACAAAACAAAACAAAACAAACAAAAAAACAAAACAAAAACAAACAAAAAAACAAACAAAACAAAAACAAAACAAAACAAAAACAAAACAACACAAAACAAAACAAAACAAAACAAAACAAAACAAACAAAAAACAAAACAAACAAAAAACAAAACAAAACAAAACAAAAAACAAAACAAAACAAAACAAATAACAACATTCTCACCTTGCTGCAGCATTTTCAAGTATTCTTTTATTGATTTAAGAACTTCAGGTTTCATCTTTGGGTAACACTTTACAATAAGGGTCCTTTATTTCCATTACTTAGTGCTTTATTAAGCATTAATAACTGATAAATATGGATGTTACCAGTAAGTACTGTATTACTAAGCAGACCCCCACCCCCCGGCCCTTTGTCCTAACCTTAATGACACTTACTAGTTAAGGCGGCTTTATTTGTAGAGCACATTTCAAACACCGAGGCAATTCAAAGTATTTATAATTAACAATATTGAGAACATTAATAAAGGAACCCTTTGTTTATTAATGCTTAATAATGCACAAAATAACATTAATAAAGGGACCCTTTCTGTAAAGTGTTACCAAATTTTTCATTACACCTAAATCATAATTATGTGCAGGTGAGTGGGCGGGACTTTCAGCCGGTTGTGTCCAATTAGAACTGTGATGATGCTCAAAGGTGTAATTAATCACAAAGTTTCCTTAATAAGTGCAAGCATTTGTCCTTAATAGCACTTTTTAAAACGTCTCTCACTAGTTCTGAAAGCAGTACATTTCAGTTTTGCTCAAGTAAAAAGCTTGAATTGATACTTTAACTTCTAGAGTCTTTCCACACCTGAGTATCTACGTCCTTCTACCTGAGTAATGACTGAATACTTCAGACACCTCTGATGAGAATGGATGAAGTTCTAAAACCCTCTGAAGGTAAAGCTAAGTTACAGGTTACCTTGATGACCTGCAGGTGAGTGAGTTGCCTGACAGAGTAATCAGGCAGGTAGACATTCGCCCCTCCATTCAGCTGGCTCATGCTTCCTCCGTACAGCATCGACTCAGAGCGGTCCAGCCCACTGCTGCGGGATGGGGACCTGTGGACTGCAGGGGACATGTTTTGTAGACAGGCACACACCTGGACAGAGAAACCCGCTGGGCTCCAGGAAACCCTGCATGACTTCAGGAGGGATGTTTTAACCCTGATGATTCAGCTCTTTGGGGCTGTCGATGACATTTCTCTGTATTGTATGTTCTGCCATTGTCTTATAGACCACACATTCATTTCTACCACAGCTGAATGTTCAGGTCAGAGGGAAAATGAGCCACTCATGACCTACGTAGAATGCCGACACAAACATTTGGGCATCAACCAGCAAAGGTGATGAAAACAAATCTAGACCTCACTGAGGTCTGAAAACACCAACAGCACTGGCTCTTGGCTCAGTTGAGAAGCAGCTTCAGGAAGAAAGGAAGTTCAGGAAAAATCCACATATGTGCCCCGACACCCATCTATCCATTAATGTCTGTTTTTCTTGGGTCGGCTCTTGGGGGCAGCAGCCTCAGCAGGTAGAACCAGACTTCCCTCTCCCCAGCCACTTGGGCCAGCTCTTGCGGGGAAGGTGTTCCCTTCCCTTGGTTCTTTTCCCCGTTGGACATGCCCGGAAAACTTCACCAGGGAGGCGTTCAGGAGGCCATCAAACATTTGGTGATCTTCTCAGTCCCTACACCTCCATCAGGTCCCTGAGGTCCAGTGATCAAAGCCTACTGGTTGTGCAGCACCATACTAAAGGTCACAGGTGACAGATCATTTGCTGCTGTGGCCCCCAGACTCTGGACCTCTCTCCCCCTGAGCCTGAGATCAGTGGACTCAGTGGTCTCCTTTAAACACCCGTTCAGGTTTGGTGTGACTTGTTGAGTCCTCCTGACTACTTTCTCTTTATGCTGATGACCTTTTCTTATTCAGTCTTTTCTTCCTTCACATTTTTAGTCAAACATTTTCCTTTTTTGCCTTTTGTAAATGATGGTATTTTCAAACTGCACCCATCCATTATCATCCACTTATCCGGGCTCAGGTCGTGGGGGCAGCAGCCTGAGCAGAGAGGCCCAGACCTCCCTCTCCCCAGCCAGTTGGGCCAGCTCCTCCAGGGGAATCCCAAGGAGTTCCCTGGAGGAGCTGAGAGTTCGGATGGGAACCTTCGGCATTTGAATTGATACAGTACCAATTCCCAGTACCTACGAATCGATACCGGTACTTGACAATATCAATTTCGATACTTTTGAGTGTTTAATAATAGTTTAATTCCTCGTCGTCTTCACTGAGTTCTTCCAGTTTTATAAACTGTGTGATGTGGTTCTTGTAGTTTTATAAACTGTGTGATGGTGGTCCTTGTAGTTTTATAAACTGTGTGATGGTGGTCCTTGTAGTTTTATAAACTGTGTGATGGTGGTCCTTGTAGTTTTATAAACTGTGTGATGTGGTTCTTGTAGTTTTATAAACTGTGTGATGGTGGGTTCTTGTAGTTTTATAAACTGTGTGATGGTGGGTTCTTGTAGTTTTATAAACGGTGTGATGGTGGTCCTTGTAGTTTTATAAACTGTGTGATGTGGTTCCTGTAGTTTTATAAACGGTGTGATGGTGGACCTTGTAGTTTTATAAACGGTGTGATGGTGGTCCTTGTAGTTTTATAAACTGTGTGATGGTGGTCCTTGTAGTTTTATAAACTGTGTGATGGTGGACCTTGTAGTTTTATAAACGGTGTGATGGTGGTCCTTGTAGTTTTATAAACTGTGTGATGTGGTTCCTGTAGTTTTATAAACGGTGTGATGGTGGGTTCTTGTAGTTTTATAAACTGTGTGATGTGGTTCCTGTAGTTTTATAAATGGTGTGATGGTGGACCTTGTAGTTTTATAAACTGTGTGATGGTGGTCCTTGTAGTTTTATAAACTGTGTGATGGTGGTCCTTGTAGTTTTATAAACTGTGTGATGTGGTTCTTGTAGTTTTATAAACTGTGTGATGGTGGGTCCTTGTAGTTTTATAAACTGTGTGATGGTGGACCTTGTAGTTTTATAAACTGTGTGATGTGGTTCTTGTAGTTTTATAAACTGTGTGATGGTGGACCTTGTAGTTTTATAAACTGTGTGATGGTGGGTTCTTGTAGTTTTATAAACGGTGTGATGGTGGTCCTTGTAGTTTTATAAACTGTGTGATGGTGGTCCTTGTAGTTTTATAAACTGTGTGATGTGGTTCTTGTAGTTTTATAAACTGTGTGATGGTGGGTTCTTGTAGTTTTATAAACGGTGTGATGGTGGTCCTTGTAGTTTTATAAACTGTGTGATGTGGTTCCTGTAGTTTTATAAACGGTGTGATGGTGGACCTTGTAGTTTTATAAACTGTGTGATGGTGGACCTTGTAGTTTTATAAACGGTGTGATGGTGGTCCTTGTAGTTTTATAAACTGTGTGATGTGGTTCTTGTAGTTTTATAAACTGTGCGATGGTGGGTTCTTGTAGTTTTATAAACGGTGTGATGGTGGTCCTTGTAGTTTTATAAACGGTGTGATGGTGGTCCTTGTAGTTTTATAAACTGTGTGATGTGGTTCCTGTAGTTTTATAAACGGTGTGATGGTGGACCTTGTAGTTTTATAAACTGTGTGATGGTGGACCTTGTAGTTTTATAAACGGTGTGATGGTGGACCTTGTAGTTTTATAAACGGTGTGATGGTGGTCCTTGTAGTTTTATAAACTGTGTGATGTGGTTCCTGTAGTTTTATAAACGGTGTGATGGTGGTCCTTGTAGTTTTATAAACTGTGTGATGTGGTTCCTGTAGTTTTATAAACTGTGTGATGGTGGACCTTGTAGTTTTATAAACTGTGTGATGGTGGGTTCTTGTAGTTTTATAAACTGCGTGATGGTGCGTGTTCCCGCCTTCTTCCCAGCAGCATGCGAGTCAGGACCCAATCCCCAGCAGCAATCCCCGGCAGCAGCCCATGGTCTACGCCAAGACCCCCCAAGGGGCTCCACTCACAACCGCCAGTAGTCCACCTCCCAAGGCAACCCAAGCATCCTCCCTCAATTTTATAAATCAGCACCAGGACACTATTCCTCCATTCCTAAAGTATATTCTCACTAGTCAAGATCTTGTTGATAAAACTAGTCAAAACCTCTCCCACCACCTCCCCTAGACACCCCCATACCTCCATGGGTATGCCATCAGGACCAGCTGCCTTTACTCTCTTTATCCTCACTAATCTCAGCAACTTCTTGATCTACGACAACCACTCCAAACCCTGTTAAACAAATGCAGGAAGGCTCAGAAAAAAGTTAGAGAGACATTGGACCTTCTACAAAGACAGGAGAGGTGAGGTCTGGTTTCAGTGAAACTCTGAAAACAACGTGAGTGTGTACTTGTACCTGTTGGCGTGATGGCAGGTACTCCAAAGTAAGAAAAGGCTCCGTTCTCAAACCTCAGAGCCTCCTTTCCAAACTCTACCTCCACCCGACCCTGAAAGACAACACAAACATCCGTAGAGGTGATTGTTTCTGAACGGCAGCACTGACGTTTGTCCCCAGGTGATGTTGCTGCTGATACCTGCAGAACCAAGATGAAGTGGTCTACGGGTTTGTTACGCTGGAACAGGAAGTGTTGTTGTGCTCGTTTGTTCTTCTCATCAAACTTGAGCTCCTGAACAACACTAGGGTGTTTGATCAACCTCAGCAGTATCTTCTCTGAGATGTGAGAAGGTTTGAAGGGTTCCACCTCTGATTGAAGGAACAGGACAAAAGAAGAGTGAAAAGTTCGAAACTGTTCAGATCCTGACACACACGACTACATTTCTGCTCCCAGTCACAACTTTTCTCATTTGAAATAAAATAAACTTCTTTCCTTCTTGTGAGTTTTTCCATGAGTTAGATTTAACTTGTGTTGTAGCTGATAGTCTACTGTCCAAGCTGCTGCTAGGGTTAGGGTTAGACAGGTGCGGTTCCCTGGAGGAGGTGTGCAGCAGGAAGCCGTCTGGTACCTGTAGACAGAAAGCGATGCGTAGCCAGGAGGAGCTGAGGGGAAATCTTCACTTTCATCTCATTCTCAGACAGTTTGAAGATGGAGAAGTCCTGCTGCTTCCGCTCGTGATGCGAGACGCGTCTCTTTGTGCGATTGTCAGCTGAGACACACATCAACACAACATGAGTGTAAAATCAGCGGCTCTGCGTAGTCCTGCTGTGAATCCACGAATGAGATCATGCTTATGGTTGCATACGTACTGTACAGGTCCGTCTCATCCAGGATCTCAGACTTGATGATTTCCTCAATGACGTCTTCCAGCGTAACGATCCCCATCACCTCGTAGAAAGGGTCGCCCTCGCCCTCGTTGTTCACGCGCTGCACGATGGCCAGGTGGGATTTACCTGGGGTCATCACAGAGTGAGCTCAGGATTTCCACCGTGTGTACACGTAATCTTCACAAGCGTGCTGTGTCTGTGACACGTGTCCTCCTGCCCTGCAGCAGGATGATGTGCTGTCACACCGCACACCGAGGGTTCCTCTGGTCTGACCTGGCTCGTGTCGTGTGTGACTGACTGACTGAAGCTGAGTTTCAGCAACAGCGGAGCTGAGTGGGTGGGTCTAAAGAGGAAACCAGGTGGTGCTTTTGGAGCTCCAACCCGAGACCCAACGATGAAGGAACGTTCTCATGATGCTCTCACACAAACGTTTAAACATCTGATGATCTACACGTTCTCACACATGATCCTGTGGATCCAAAGGTCAGCTGTAGGACCTTCACTGAGTTCTGCCAGTGAGACGTTTCACCAACAGAGACATTCATGCCAGCTTTAAACAGAGCTACTGCTCTGTGTGTGTGTGTGTGTGTGTGTGTGTGTGTGTGTGTGTGTGTGTGTGTGTGTGTGTGTTGATCTGGCTCAGAACCAGCTTCCTCTCGCTCGCCCCTCCCTCTCTGCTGCTCTGGCAGCGTTGTGTTTAGCTAAATAGGTCAGAGAGAGAAAGGCTCTTTGTTTCCGGCGGTTCAAACCCCGCAGCAGGTGCCTTCTCCTCTCCTCTGCATCAGAACCTTTAACTCTGGATGTCCCTGAGCTCGCTGAATGTCTCGTGTTTGTGAGACCTTATGAGACCAAGTAGACTAAATGTGTTTACTTCTGCTTCCTCATGTGCTGCCATGACACGTGAACCCCCACTGTGGGACTAATAAAGTCTGTTCTATTCATGCTGGGTAGCACATGTAGGAGAACAGCTGTGGACAGCCTAAGCGTGTAATCTAATAGCTCTCCAGATTTCAGCAGGTCTACAGAAAGAGCCAAAGGTCAAAGGTCTCATGATGGTTCTGAAGCTGCTGGACCCGCTTCAGCCCCGCTGTCCTAGTTACATCATGTCATTAGCTTTAGCTTTAGCCCAAACACAGACCCAGATGTCGTCTCAGGTTTCCAAAACAACATTATTAGTATAAAATTAGCAGATGTAGATCATGACATAAATAAAATGCAGTTTTTATTGTATTTAAACTAAATCTTCAAACCTGACTGATCAAAGCAGCAGCTCGGTGGAAGTTCTCTCCATCACACCCAGCCCTGCTGTGGGGGGTGAGGGCTGGGTGTCAGCCCTACCCAGAGAGGCTCTGACCGCTGGGGCTACTACAGAATACTTATGTTGAAGAGAAGTTTCAGGATGTGTGTGGTTCTGGTTCTGAAAGCCTCACACACCAGCACAGTGCTGCAGTGGTTCACAGCGTGTTAGCTCGACCCGTTCTCTGTGTTCTGGTCTGCTTAGCATGCGGACCACAGACTCATCCTGTGACTCAACGGCTGTGCAGCATTTCAACACATCCAGACCGGCTGATCTGTGATCTGTTGGCTCCTGCTCTCAGCGCAGCGACACACATCTATGGGAAATGGCCTGTACTGGTATGGCGCCATCTTAGAGCTCGACAACCCCCCAAGGCCCTTCACAGCACCATCAGTCATCCACCCATTCACACGCTGATGATGAGGAGCTACACTGTAGCCACAGCTAAGCTAGACTGCTGAACACCAGTTCTTCCATCCATCACCAGAAAGTAAGGTGGGTTAAGTGTCTTGCCCAAGGACGCAACAGCTGGCAGGAGCCGGGATTGAACCCACAACCCCTCTGATTACTGGACAACCTACTCTGCCTCCTGAGCTGCTGCTGCTTAAAGGAAATGCTGGAGGCAGCAGAAGGCAGAGCAGAGGACGGACTTCTACAGAACCATGAACCCACTGGATCGGAGCGTGTGGAACCACCGGTACCTTGTTGTTGAATAGAGACAGCCTGGACCAGGCTACTGGTCTACTGGTCTACTACTACTGGACCAGGCTACTGGTCTACTACTACTGGACCAGGCTACTGGTCTACTGGTCTACTACTACTGGACCAGGCTACTGGTCTACTGGCTACTGCAACTCTCTCTATGCAGGGTTGTGTCAGTCAACACTGCGTCGCCTACAGGTTGTGCAGAACAGCGCTGCCAGGTTCCTGACTGGGACCAGGAAACGGGACCACATCAGTCCAGTTCTGGCCTCCCTGCACTGGCTTCCGATTTCCTATCGCTCACAATTCAAACTCCTCGTCTTTGTTTATCATTTCTTCCAGGGTGGTGCTCCCCCCTATCTAGCCACACCTGAACAGACACTCCCCATCACGCGCTCTGCGCTCCTCTGACCAAGGCCTGCTCGCTGTCCCTCGGTCTAGGTGTCGTACCCGTGGGGACCGGGCTTTCTCAGTCCTAGCACCGTTACTCTGGAACCAGTTGCCACCCTCAGTCAGGCTGTCCCCTTCTCTGCCAGTCTTTAAGAATCACCTAAAAACACCACCTCCGCTTGGCGTTTCCAGAACATGTTTGATTTTGGCCCTCTTTTATGTTGAATCCATTCCACAGTTTTCATTGGTACACTCAATCCAAATGTGTTTCACACATTTGTCCTTTACCGGAATGTTTCATCTATCTTGTAATTTCCATTTTGTATTTTGTAATTTGAATTTCTTTTATTGTTGATTTATTCAGTATAATTACTTACAACTGTACCATGTTCAGCGCTTTGGGCTTCCTGACAGGGTTGCGGAAGGCGCTTTATAAATAAAGCTTTGATTGATTGATTGATTGGACCAAAGGCCTGGGTCGTTTCTGAGCTGCTCACGTGTAAATAAGTCACGTACTGGTGAGGGAGGAACAGTTCGTTCTGACAAAAGCTGGTTTAATGCATCATGAGCAACGCACACCCTTAACTTAGCACGTCCCAACCCACTTTAGTGTTGGAAATGTACAGGGTGGGATATGGTGGGGGGGCAAGCAGCACCCGACCAACCAGTGGTCAGATGTGGAAGAGATGGCATCAACAGAAGTAAGGAGCAAGCACAAGCAGGAAAAAGTCAAAGCCAGAGGAGGAGCGTGTCATTGGAACGAAAAAGAAAGACTTTGTGTGCATAAACATCCCAGCTGCTGTTCATGAGACACAAGAGAGAATAATTGTGTCTGGATGTGGACTGGAGCCACTGCTAATGCTAGCCTGAGGTATAGCTAACATCAGCCCGAGCTACTGCTAATGCTAGCCTGAGGTATAGCTAACATCAGCCGGAGCTACTGCTAATGCTAGCCTGAGGTATAGCTAACATCAGCCCGAGCTACTGCTAATGCTAGCCTGAGGTATAGCTAACATCAGCCCGAGCTACTGCTAATGCTAGCCTGAGGTATAGCTAACATCAGCCCGAGCTACTGCTAATGCTAGCCTGAGGTATAGCTAACATCAGCCCGAGCTACTGCTAATGCTAGCCTGAGGTATAGCTAACATCAGCCGGAGCTACTGCTAATGCTAGCCTGAGGTATAGCTAACATCAGCCGGAGCTACTGCTAATGCTAGCCTGAGGTATAGCTAACATCAGCCCGAACTACTGCTAATGCTAGCCTGAGGTACAGCTAACATCAGCCCGAACTACTGCTAATGCTAGCCTGAGGTACAGCTAACATCAGCCCGAGCTACTGCTAATGCTAGCCTGAGGTATAGCTAACATCAGCCGGAGCTACTGCTAATGCTAGCCTGAGGTATAGCTAACATCAGCCGGAGCTACTGCTAATGCTAGCCTGAGGTATAGCTAACATCAGCCGGAGCTACTGCTAATGCTAGCCTGAGGTATAGCTAACATCAGCCCGAACTACTGCTGATGCTAGCCTGAGGTACAGCTAACATCAGCCCGAACTACTGCTGATGCTCCTGTTGGATGAGTGGAAAAACACAATGAAATCTGAGCACACGTAACGTTCCACGATGACTGGGAATATCCAGACTTTGAACGAAGGCCAGGCAGGTCCTGGGCTCCTGGGCCATTTTGAGCCCAACAAGTTTAAAATGCTTAGAAGCTCAAAGATCAGCTGATGGAGCTCACACACATCACATGGACAGAGCATGAAGCCATGGCTCATTTTCTGAATGTTTGGGATTAGGGTTTGCTGGTTCACACTGATGGAATAAACACACACACGCACACACACACACACACACACACACACACACACACACACACACACACACACACACACACACACACACACACACACACACACACACACAAATACTGCCGGCTGTGCTGGTTTGGTCCTGCTGAGTCTGACTGGACTGAAGGAGACGTGCTGCATTTCTCCTGCTGCAGTGTTGCTGCAGAACCAGGGGGTCAGGAAGTGAGGGATGTGTGGAGGCAGAGGGGTTGCTCCTCATCCTCTAGCTGTTTAAGTTTGACATTAACAACAGGGGTCACTCAGCTCGGCTCCACGTCCTTTCACCATTAAAGCATTTGCAGGAACAGAAATCCTCTGACCTTAGATTTTCTACATGTTTTATTTGCAAAGGCCTGTTTATGACTAAACCTTTACCAACCAGCGATGAGGCTTCCTGCCGCCGTACGGCAGAAGCAAACATCCGCTGTGATAAATCAGCTGTCCAGTTTCTTGATTAAGGTGTCCTCCTCTGTTTACCGCCCTCGCTTCCTGTCTCACCAGCAGAAAATAAATAAACACAAATCCTGCTGACCATGCAGAGTTCCTGCAGGAAGGGAGTGATTTAAGGACGGGTCTGTGATTGGTCTGTTCAAACCCCGCCCTCCAAAGCTTTAAGGGCAGTGTGCCAGCTGACTGCAGGTACCGAGGCAGGCCGAGCCACCATCCTTTTACTCTGTGGCACTTCTGAGTGTTTCAGGGAGACGTGAAGATGACAGGATGAATCTGTGACTTTTAGGGATCACTTGTTCATCATTATTCACCAGAATGGCTCTAACTGAAGCCTGAAAAAGACAACGATGTTGAATCTTTTAAGTAATTACAGAATAAAATAGAGCATTGAGTGGAGAACAAACAGGTCATGTGACGTTTGATCAGATCTGGGATGATGACTCTAAAACCGAACTCAACAGGTCCATGTCATTTGGTTTTACATGACCCAGCGGGTGAAACTCAGAAAGACTTTCCTGGATGAGATCCTTCGACTCTTCTGGGGTCAACCTGATCAAAAACTTCTGTGTGTGTGTGTGTGTGTGTGTGTGTGTGTGTGTGTGTGTTAAGATGGTGTTAACGATGACATAATTCCATCATTTAGAAGGTTTGAGTGAGCTGCTCCAGCTGATGATTCTCCTCTTAAAATACTTTCATCCTTTTGAGATACTTGATGATGCGCTGGGTGTTTAACCAATCAGAGGCTGCCTCCACAAACCTCAGCTAGTCTCAAGACACACACACAGCCACACATGGTGTGAAGCACCAGAGTCCTGCTGAGCAGACATGGTTGCATCACATCTGCTGCTTATCAAGTGAGGTTAGTAAAGAGACCTTTGTGGTTAATGAAGGTCAAACATGCAGGTACGTTCCGCGGCGTCTTGACATGAAAGGGTTAAACGAGCTCCTCACCTTTCTTAAACTCCTCCAGCATCGTGTCCAGCTTGGTGTCGTTGAAGACGAAGTGCAGCGGGTGTTTGTAGAACTGGGTGATTGTCTTCAGCGCGGTGCAGTCGTCCGGGTCCACGAAGGCCAAATCCTTAACGAACAGGATGTCCACGATGTTGGACCGCTCGTTCTCAAACACGGGTATCCTGGTGTAGCCGCTCTGCATGATCTCAGACATGGTGTTAAAGTCCAACACCACGTCCGAGGCCAACATGAAGCAGTCGGTCAGCGGAGTCAGGACGTCCTCCACGGTCTTGGTGCGCAGCTCCAGAGCTCCTTGGATGATGTTCAGCTCTTCCTTGACGAGATCGTGGTACGGATCCGTGACGCGCAGCATCTCCAAGAGCTTCTCTCTGGTGTAGAAGTTAGAAATCTCCTGGTTGAGGATGAGATCCAGCAGCTTGCTGATGGGGTAGGAGATGGGGAAGGACAGCACCATCAGCAGCCGCGTCACCCAAATGGTCTTGGACGCGATGGCCAGACCGTGGCGCGATGCCACTGAGTGTGGAAGGATCTCCCCGATGAAGAAGATGCCAAAGGCGCAGATGACTGTGGAGAGCCAGGTCATGCCCAGGATCTGACACATCCACACGGCCAGCGAGGCGTTGATGATCGCGTTTCCCAGCAGGAGAGTGCACAGCACGTAGTTACCGTGCCGACGCACGGATTCGATCTTCCGTGCGTAATTCTGCTCCTTGTCTGTGCCACTGTTCTGGAGGACTTGCAGCTCCACGGGGTCCAGCGCCAGCAGGCTCAGGTTCAGCCCGCTGAATAGAGCGGACAGACCGAGCAGCAGCACGGAGACCAGAACTTGGAGCCAGACTTCCGTCACTTCAGAGCTCTCGGTCACAGCCACCCAGAAGTCCCTAGTCCGGTAGTGTTCCCACTTGGACCCGTCGAACGAGCACAGGGAGTAGTACTTGATCTTCTCGCCCCTCCGCAGATCTTTAGCCAGCAGCTCCACCAGGACCGAGTTCCTGCTGGATGCAGATTTGAAAGAACCTACAACCTCGATGTCGGACGTCCTGGCGTTCTTGTCCATGCACATGTTCCTCTTAGGGTGAACTTGGCCCTCCCTCCCGGGACTTGGCTCCTCGATGAAGGCGATCCAGGGTGCGGCATTGTTGGCACGGCTCCCCGCAGTGCGGTTGAGCCTGTGCGGAGAGGTGGAGTAGTAAACACGCAGCGTGAAGCGAGTCCCCTCAGTGGCTTTCAGCACCCCGCTCTCCACGGACAGCTCCGCTCCAGTCTCCTCCGGACGGAAGCCGAGTAGGCATCGCGCCGGCGCCGGTAGCAGCGAGCAGAGGCAGAGCAAAGTCAGCAGCGGGCGGGTCTGACAGAGCCGAGCCCCGCTGCAGAGCCCCGCTCCGGATCCGCTCCGCGCGGCCGCATCCCCTGCAGCCATGATGGGCTTTGAGCAGCAGCTCAGCCCAGGGAGCCACTGCCACGTGAGGCTGCCTGGTTCCGGTCCGTGTGGGAAAAGGAGGGACGATCAGCAATCTGTTAGAACAGTGTGACGCAAAAGAGGCGCACAGCTGTACCATGACGTCACTTTCTAAGATATACCCACCAAACCAGGACGAGTTCACCTGGCAGCCAGTTGAACCAGTGAGAGGGATTGCTTGCTGTTTTTTATTTATGCTTCACAGTGGTTGCTGACATCAGCGCCAGCATCAGAGTGCTGGTTGGTGGTGTGACGCCGCCACTCACGGGTTTATTAGGCGCGTGTTCTTAGACTACACAGCCCTTCAGGTTTGTGGAAGCTAAATGATGACATTCCAGAAGAGACAAAGGATCAGACCTCTGTAACGAAAGTAGAACCACAATAATGGAGTGGACCATTTCAGTGACAGGATCTCATCTGTGGAACAAAAAGCGTCATGGCGTTCAAGGAACACAATTTAAATAAGTACAAAAGTCATGCTGAGAAATTTATAGAACTTGTGTTTTAAAAATGTGAAAACACAAAAGTCATGTCATGAAAACATTTGTAAGTACTCCAAACATGGACCACAGTATTGCAGACCCATGTGGAACATCACTTCACTTAGATTAGGTTCTTTCTTCTCCTTTTCATTCATGTAGCGATTTTATTTTCCTTCCGAATGAAATGACAAACCAGGAGGAGGAGCGGCCCTAAATGTCCATGAAACATCAAAAGTCATTGGAAACATGACGTGAACAATAAACAGTTTAATGTGTATCAATAGAAATGATCGATGTATGAAAAGAAAAAGTTGATAGTAAGTTTTGTTTACGGATCAAGGTGGCAGACATTTACAAAGTGGATCGAAAAGACATTCTCTTCAATAAGAATTGTGGGGATAATAATAATGATTTGATTAATCAGAATAAACATAAACCAACTGATGGATTTATTAGTAGAATGTATAGTAGGAGCTCATAGCCGCCATTACTCGACCTGTTTCCTGTTTCCTGTCTTCATGTATGAGGCGAGTTTTGATGATAGGAAATCGTTCAAAAATTCTTGGAACTGAGAAAACAATCCATTCATTGTTTAATGACTTAGCAGACCAGGACTGGGACACCGTACATAATGAAAACATGTAAATTTTGCTTTTAATAAGTTTTTAGGAGCATTTACTTCAGCACATAGCAAGAAGTGTCCAACTGGTCAGGTCAGTAAAAACACCTCAGCCATTAAACCCCCATGGGTCACCAAAGGTTTACAAAAACTGTCAAGCAGAACTCGTCGTGGAGAGTTCATCAGATTAAGGCTGAAGAATCTGAACATAGATATAAAACATATAACAGGTTTACTGACCTCACGAGAACTAATAAGAAATGCTGGTAAACCAACATAAAAGGCTATGGGGATCCTAAATTATAACTAGGCGGGATTCTAACAAGCATTCACATCCCGACTGTTTCATTGATGAAAGTGGCGATAGTTATGACACGAATGAAAACGCTGATCGTTTTAGTGAGTTTTGTTGATGTTGGGTCAGACTTGGCAAAGAAGATCCCTATTAAAGGTGATGATGTGGATTACACGCAGCTAGAAAGACACTCAAAGACAATGTTCCTGTCTGGTGTAACTGAAGCAGAGGTAGTGAATATACACTCACTGGCCACTTTACTGGGTATACCTTGCTTGCACCGGGTTGGACCCCCTGTCGCCTTCAGCACTGCCTTAATCCTTCGTAGACTCAACAAGGTACAGGAAAGATCTTGGTCCATATTGACATGACAGCATCAAGCAGGTGCTGCAGATTTGTCGGCTGCACATCCATGATGTGAATCTCCCGTTCCACCACATCCCAAAGGTGCTCTACTGGATGGAGATCTGGTGGCTGGAGGCCATTTGAGTAAAGTGAACTCATTGTCATGTTGAGGAAACCAGTCTAGATGATTTGAGCTTCATGACATGGTCCATCATCCTGCTGGATGTAGCCATCAGAAAATGGTACACTGTGGTCATAAAGGGATGGACATGGTCAGCAACACACTCAGGTAGGCTGTGGCGTTGCTACGATGATCAGTTAGTACTAAAAGGCCCAAAGTGAGCCAAGAAAATGTCCCCCACACGATTACACCACCACCAGCAGCCTGCGTCACTGATAGAAGGTGGGATGGTTCCATGCTTTCATGTTGTTGATGTCAAATCCCGACCCTACCATCTGAATGTTTCAGCACAAATAGAGACTCATCAGACCAGGCAACATTTTTCCAATTTTCTATTGTCCGGTTTTGGTGAGCTTGTGTGAGTTGTAGCCTCGGTTTCCTGTTCTTAGCTGACAGGAGTGTGGTCTTCTGCTGCTCTAGCCCATCTGCCTCAAGGTTCAACATGTTGTACGTTCAGAGATGCTCTTCTGCATACCTTGGTTGTAACCAGAGGTTATTTGAGTACTGTAGCCTTATTATGAGCTCGAACCAGTCTGGCCATTCTCCTCTGACCTCCAGCATCAACAAGGCATTTTCACCCACAGAACTGCTGCTCACTGGATGTTTTCCTTTTTTTGGGACCATTCTCTGTAAATCCGAGAGATGGTTGTAAGTGACAATCCCAGAAGTTCAGCAGCTTCTGAAATACTCAGACCAGCCCGTCTGGGACCTACGACCATACCACGTTAAAGTAGGGCTGCCATGATTAGTTGACTCATCATGTCGACATCTGCAAACAAAATAGTCAACGAGTAATTTCCTTTATTAACATTTCTAAAAATTTGCCTGCTCCGCCATGTTCGGCGGTTGCTTCCTGCCTCTGCTCAGCTGCCACGTTAGCTCAGAGGTGCATGGACAGTGGTGGCCATCCAGATCAGCCTTCATCACCGGAGAAAGAAAACATGGCGAGTCGACAACGTAGCTCAAAAGTTTGGGAGCGTTATACAAATTCAAAAGAAAGGCCAGTAGAGTGCAAACTCTGCTGAGTAAAACTCTCCTTAACGGGAGCACATCGGCGATGCACAAGCACCTTAAGAGGAAGCAGGTCATGCCGGAGAACAAAGAGTCGCCTCGGTAAGTTTACCTCTTGTTAGCTGCTACAGAGTTACTTGTATTTATAGCTGTAGCAACACCAGTAGTGGTGGTGATGTTATTACCTTTAGAACATGTTTGTATGTCACATATTTTTGCTCTAATTACAAACTAATGATTTATTTCATCCCGCTACGTTACAGAGTTAATACAAGTGTTCCTCTTTACCTGTGCACACCTCAGCAAGCTAATGCCCTGACCAGGCTGTTGTGAGCACGTTGGTCACCAGACTCCCGTCCATGGTCGGTATCAAAGTTTCAGAGAGATGATCAAGCAGCTTATCAAAAATATTAGCTTCATCTAAACCTTCAACTTGCATTTTGGATCCAATCCCAACCAAATTATTTAAAGATGCATTTCCTTTGGTTACTGCCCCCATTCTAGATATAATCAATCTATCCTTAGTAAATGGGTATGTACCACAGGATTTTAAGGTTGCTGTAATCAAACCTTCACTTAAGAAGCCTTCTCTGGATCCAGATGACCCAATGAACTATAGACCAATATCTAACCTTCCATTTTTATCCAAAGTCCTGGAGAAAATAGTGGCCATCCAAGTATGTCAGCATTTAGTATGTGAGTATGTGAGAACGGAGAAGGGGGCTCCCACCTGTCCCGAGGGGACATTCGCAGCAGGATATGCACTCGATTCTTGGGAGGTCTGGCGGATCGTGTGCCTCTCTCAGTTGTCCATCGAGGACGTGGAAGATTTGTGGATGTTCCGCCTGATGATCACTGGATTTCTTCTGATTGGAGTGGGAGGATATCTGGTTTTCTGGAAATTTGGGAAGACAGGAGCGATTGGAGTGCGACCCGTGCCCATGGAATGTGCCGCCCGTGCGGTGACCTCACAGACTGGGACGTTACTCGAGGTGAACCGTAAGCTGGACAATGTCCTCGCGGCGTTGCCTGTATTAGTGCGCAAGATGGATGTCATCTCAGAGAGGGTCGCCGGTCGATGTGGGGATGTTTAGAATGTAAAATTGGCTTCACTGGTGGACATGAATGACCACTTAGAGACTCCAAGGCGGAGAGGAAAATTATCTCTGCCTGCCCCAAACAAAGTCATGTTTATCCTTATCTGACGCCATAGCAGCCTCTCAAGGCTGCGTCAACACACCCCCACGAAAGGAGGAATGCTGACAGATGCTGTGTCCCGACCTTCACCCTCTTCCTTCAGATTGAGACGTCTGCGGGAAACTCAATGTGCTCTCTGTTCCTTATCTCTTCCTCCCACCTGTTGGTCTGCAGCTGGTCGATGCGCCGCAGTGGCAGCTCCCATTGGAGGCTTCAGGATCCCGCCCATCCCCGCCTCCCCATCGGACTCTGATGTTTTGTATCTGTGCTGTTTGTGCTTCCATGTTGAGGAGTTTTTTGTATAATAGTTACTCCCCGCTGGGTCTAACTCTGCTATGCCTTTTTTTTTTTACCTACCCCCACTTATCCTCATGTAACACCCTTTTCATCTATCTATTAAGGTAGAGCGACTCATGTTGTGAATGACCGCAGTCACCAATTCTTGTCATGTGTCTTACCCACGTACGTCTGATCTCTGAATTGTGTGCACTGAAACTCAATTTCGTTTCTCTGTATGTCCTGCACATGTGGTAGAAATGACAATAAATGACTTTGACTTGACTTTCATTTAAACACTAATGCTCTGTTTGAGGAATTTCAGTCTGGTTTTAGAGAGTATCACAGCACTGAAACTGCATTAGTGAGAGTTACAAATGATATTCTCATGGCCTCAGATAAGAATCTTGTGTCTGTTCTAGTCTTGTTAGATCTCAGTGCTGCCTTTGACACAGTTGATCACAATGTTCTTTTAGAAAGACTTGAACATGTTGTAGGGATCAAAGGAACAGCGTTAGGCCGGTTTAAATCCTACCTGTCTGACAGATTTCATTTTGTAAATGTACATGACAAATCGTCTTCATACTCCAGGGTTACTTGTGGAGTACCACAGGGTTCAGTGCTTGGACCAATTCTTTTTACTATATATATGCTCCCAATTGCTAAAATCATTAGACAGCATGGGATAAACTTCCACTGTTATGCTGACGATACTCAGTTATACTTATCCATTAACCCTGATGAACCTAATCGGTTGGGTAGATTACAGGCTTG